AAAGCCTGATTGGTACATTTTAAAGCTGTAAAAAAAAATTACAGCAAAATTAAGACTGTAAGTATTTTTACAGCTCAACCAATCATCCCCATAATTCAAGTAAAATAAGAAAAAAGTGTAGATTCTGATGAAAACATCATAAGCCATTCTTTAGGCTATTACACACAACAATTACATTAGAGATACAAAAGAGAAACAAATGTTTTACATGCCAGATGGTGACATAGTTATGATATGTACAGTATTGTTCAATCGTGTGATAACAAAGTTTCTACATTCAAGGCAAAAAAAAAACACAGAATGTTCTCAAAAACCTTTTTAGCATTACATTCCATTACAGGAAGATTCATTTGTACAGTAACTGTGAATAATCTTGGGACATAATAATCCAAGTAAAATAAGAAAAAAGTGTAGATTCTGATGAAACATCATCATAAGCCATTCTTTAGGCTATTACACACACCACAATTACATTAGAGATACAAAAGAGAAACAAATGTTTTACAATGCATATCATCAGCAAGGAAACAAATGTTTATATAATACGTATCAGCTTTAGCTGACACTCTACAAGAATTTCAGTTTCCCTTTGGAGAAACTAGCTTGGACATGTTCCATTTGACACATTGCCTTCTCTTTTCCGGTCATCCCCGAACACGACAAATGCGTAGCGCCTAGTGTGACGGCAAAATAGATATAAATGGTGCAGAGGAACGCCAAAAGGATCATCGCGGTTAAAAGAAACCGATGCCTTTGGAAAACAGTCGAACAACTACCCAAATCCTCCCATTGCTTCTTTAGCGCATGTGGCCTTCGTAATGGCGATGATACAATCCCATCAAGAACCATAATTCCTTCTAAAAACCCAACCTTTCTAGCTTAACACCAAACCTGAAATGAGACATGAATTCAATGAGTTCATAAAGAACACCAAAAGCTTCTTCAAGGTAGAAACAATGTAACCATTTATACAACTTCTACAATTGCCAAAATTTCAACATCATCATTTTTGAATCCACTATGATAGACATAAAAAAACCATGTTTTTTAATCTGTGCCTACGAGGTAAGCAATTTAGAGACAAGATTATATTTTTATTCACCGTTACAAAACAAGCTTGGTTCTTTAATACACAGAGAAATCACCAACACACCAAGTCAAACTGAATCCTCGATCTATCAAAACGATTGAATCGAAGAAAACTCAAAAACATCAAAGGAAAGAGATCCAATCAGGGGAATAGAGAGATAACGAACCGGTGAAAGAGAAAGAGCTAAGGAAAAAAAAACGATTTATGGATCTGG